GTCCCCTTTATTTACTGACTGTGCTAGTTTCTTTTCTGTGTGTGATTTGGAAGCTCTTATAACTTGCTTAGCCTCTTTCTGCCTAATCTTATAGATCATTCTGTCTTCCTCACTCTGGGTTTTTTTTATAATTACTAAATGCTGACTTTTTGTTTTTAACTATTTTGGCCACATCTGCGGAGTACCACAGTGGTTTCTTGAATTTTTTGCTTTTACTGACAAGCCTAATGCAATTTTCTGTTGCTTTCAGTAGTGCAACTTTTAAATAATCCAATTTCTCTTGGACTCCATTTAAATTGCTCCAGTCTGATAATGACTCCTCTACACATATTCTAATTTTAGAAAAGTCTGTTTTTCTAAAGTGTAAAACTTTTGTTTTTGTGTGGTGTGACTCAATCACTGTTCTTATATTAAACCACACTGACTGATGATCACTGGATCCTAAACTTTCGCCTACAGTAATATCTGATATTAAATCTCCATTTGTTTACACTAAATCTAGTATGGCCTCTTTACGAGTTGGCTCCTCAACGACTTGTTTTAGAGACAATCCCAGTAGGGCATTTAGAATATGTGTGCTCCTGGCACAAGCAGCTATTTTTGTTTTAAATCTACACTATCAGTTGCCATTATTGCCACAAGTTCATGGATCTTATTCCCTAAACTGCGAGCATTTGAAGACATGACTCTAAGCTTATCATTTTTTAACACACTTGCTACAAGCACCTTCTGTCCTTGTTTTGGGGGACAATTGGATTGATGTTTCATCACCCTTTTGCCCCCCCTCCTAATTTAAATACATCCTAGCAAAACCTCTGAATTGCTCACTGAGAACATTTGTTCCCTTTTGAGAACGATGCAAACCATCTTTTTTGTACAGGTTATTTCCATTCCAAACATGAGAAATAAAGCCAAATCCTTGCTCCCGACACCATTCACCAAGCCACAAATTAAAGTCCCTAGTACGCATCCGCCTGTCGTTCTGAGTGTTATGCACAGGCAGAACTTCAGAGAATGACAGTGTGGAAGCAACCTGCCATATATCATTGGCAAAAACACTAAAAACGTCCTTAACCTCTGAAACCTCATTGCAAGCCAAGTCATTTGTCCCTAGACAAGCGATCAGTGCAGAAAATGATTTTGTTTCTCAAATATTTCTCACATTACTTAAGTAATCTGCACCTACTAGGCACTCGTTAAAGTGCAAAAAAATAATTCTGTCCTCCATCTCTCTGAGGGGCTCACAGCTCTGGAGGACACCATGGTGTGCACAGGCTGCTGTTCTGGTCAAGTCTGGACCACATAGTCACATACCTCTTCAAACAGTTATCCCGAACTGGTAAGAAACGAGGAGCCCCCACCACCACAAGAGAGCGAGCGCTTCCTGCACATTATGCAGCAACACCCTGAAATGATCCCAGCAGATGGTCTCCACTGTTCTCAATATCATCATATATTTGAAGACTGTCAGAATCAGTGGTCCATGAGCAGACCTCTCCTTGGTCTCATTCTCCTCAATGAGAGAAGTATTTCTTGGGCTTATGGAGCAGCATTGTTAGTAGCCAGCCCCCCTCTGAGAAGCAACAAGCCATGCGTCTATGCTTTGAGAATTTGATGGTGGAGGGCATTGAAAGAAACTTGCTCACAAAAAGAATCGAGACAGGTTCACACAGAATCTTTCTGCCTTCAGACGAAAAGTGAACGACTCTGCAGAGACTGTACTGAAAGGGTGAAACAGGTTCTGCGCGCACGTTTTTGTAATAAATAATTTCCTCTTTTACCGAGGGAAAGAAACAAACATTTTGCACTGAGAGGGTGAAACATGGTTCTGCAAGGACGTTGTTTTTTGTAATAAGGAATTCCTCTTTTTACCGAGGGAAAGAAACAAACATTTTGCACTTTAACTAGATGGAAGCAGTTAATGCGCACATTACCTAGGTAAAGTGCAGAAAACTCTTGATTCCGCACTTTAACTGAGCAAATCAGTTAATCTGCAGATTAACTAGTTAGTGTGCACATTAACTGATTTCTCACTTTAACTGTAACATATACACACACACACGTATTAAATATATATATATATAATGTTAAACAAAAATCTGCACACCACATACCGCAAAGGATTCTGGGTGAGCATATACAAATTAGTTTAACAAAGAATCAAATTTTTGCCTCATTTTAAACATGGATTCCTTTTAGACTGTGTTTGCTGTATACAACAGCTTGGAACACAACTTAGGAAAAGATGCAAAACTAGTAAATCACTCATGGACAGCTGTTTCGTTGTTAATGCAACTCATCAGCATGAAGTTGGTTACTGGTTTGCTTATTGAGGCTTGGTAGTGCTTGGGAAGCAAAATTCAAATAGGTTATGGTGGGGAAAAATTGTGATTGAAAACCCCTTCCACCTGAAGTCTGTGGATAGTTAGTGTTCCAAGCTGTTGTATACAGCAAACACAGACTAAAAGGAATCCATGTTTAAAATGGAGTGAGGCAAAAATGTGATTCTTTGTTAAACTAATTTGCATATGCCCACCCAGAATCATTTGCGTTATGTTGCAGGCAGCAGAACGTTCTCCACAGCGTCTCCAGACTCTATCACGTCTGTCACATGTGCTCAGTGTGAACCTGCTTTCATCTCTGAAGAGCACAGGGCGCCAGTGGCAAATTTGCCATTCTTGGTGTTCTTTGGCAAATGCCAAACGTCCTGCATGGTGTTGGGATGTAAGCACAACCCCCACCTGTGGATGTCGAGCCCTCATACCACCCTCATGGAGTCTGTTTCTGACTGTTTGAGCAGACACATGCGCATTTGTGGCCTGCTGGAGGTCATTTTGCAGGGCTCTGGCAGTGCTCCTCCTGTCCTCCTTGCACAAAGGCGGAGGTAGCGGTCCTGCCTCTGGGTTGTTGCCCTACTACGGCCTCCTTCACGTCTTCTGATGTACTGGCCTGTCTCCTGGTAGCGCCTCCATGCTCTGGACAGTACGCTGACAGACACAGCAAACCTTCTTGCCACAGCTCGCATTGATGTGCCATCCTCGATGAGCTGCACTACCTGAGCCACTTGTGTGGGACAAACAGCTTGCACGAGAAAGGTAAGTAGGGGGTAGGGTTTAAATAGGATCATAACTCCTCCCACAAATTCAGGCCAAATGGCCTTCCAACTTGTGCTCGGAATTTATCTAATACATAATGGAATGTAGAAGGGGAAGCAAAGTTGGTTGAGGTGTGCCGAAACCAACGTACGAGTAGGCCTGTAATAAAAGAGGGCAAAAGAGAATTCAAAGAAACACACTTTATTGCAAGTTTATACAGCTTGTGTACTGAAAGCTTGTTAGGAGCTTTTACTCTGATTGAGGTATATATGTAACTGAACTGAGGATTACCTGTGGCCCCATCACTTAGTGATGTAGACTGGGGTGTAAGAGCTTGAAGCTGCTGATGCAGCGCTTTTGTGAAAAAGAGAGACCAGCGAAGGAAGCCATGATGTAGCTCACCTTAATGGAAGGTTTAGACGTAAAGTAATGGATTAGGACTGATAGTGTGTGGTTGACCTTGGATACGTAAAAAGCGGAGTGACAGCATAGGAGGTATAAGCAAGATGCTAGACTTGTAGGTTTAGAGGTGACAGACGGACTGCATATGTGGACTAGGTGTGGATTCTGGAGCAGATGTGCAAAACCCTGCATGTAGTGAAATAGCATACCCCAGTATTAAAGTGATAGTGCACCCGAGCCTTCCCCAGAAATAAAATGGTCAGCCCAGCTTGTTCTTCTGGGCGCTTCCCTGTCTAGTTCGTGGGGTGAAGAAGTGGTGAGAAGTGGAAGTCGCTGTCTCTATGTGAGAGGCATAAAGCTGTGTTTAGTCGTGGGTCTCACTCTTTAGGACTACTGAAATGTCTCCATGAATATAACCTTTGTACTGTAGGGTGTCTTGGGAAGTTAAGTAGTGATGTTATATATATTAACAATAGGTGTGGAATATGTGGCGCTGAGTAATTAATGTGAACAGTGTATTTTAGCTGCTGTTTACACTCTATGGGTACTCCTAAAAGCCCACCATACAAAGATAAACACCAAAAGACAGAAAAGATTTCAGACCTAATGGGTGTTACCACCTCTTAGGTCTTCTATCTTTAAGAGTGCAGCGCTGTATAATATGTGAAAGCACAGTGAATTACCTGTGATTCAAAGGCAATTATCCTTTATATTCTCCAATGTAATATATATACAAAAGAAAACAGAAATATATACAGATAATTGTGCAGTATATCTATTACTTTAGTGAAGTGTTTAGTGGGTAACATATATATCTCCACTCACATTTTTTAGAGCCTTTTCAAGTGAATTAGGCTCTAAACTTTCGTGCGTCTGTGTCTTTAAGGGTAGATCACATGACCCCTCTCTCCAGGTTAAGTGTGTATTTTCCTCTCCCCAGCGTATATAAAAGACACAGAATTATCCAACTAAGTGTAGCATCCTTTGTAATATTTTCATATAAATAACAAATTAAAGTGCTCACCTTATTTAGAGCCTTTTGGTAACTGGCTCTAAGTGTATAGGCCTAGTGTCAATTTGTGGGGTGACACTGCCCCTTCCCTGGAATCACTGGTACTGGATACAGTGGATAGTATAAAATAAGGGAATTTATTACAACGTATATAAAAACAGTATAAAAATATTTCTAGAAAATAAAAAAATTGGATAAGTACAAAATATTGCAAGTATTGGTGGTTCAGAAAAAAATGATGAGTCCACTTTAAAAGCCAAAACGCGTTTCGCCGGTAAAAACGGCTTCCTCAGTCAGCTTGTGAGTGTCCTCTTGGTGTTCTGTAATTTAAGCGTCCAAAATCTCGCCTAAAATGTCTTCTTCCAATCAAAAGAGTCTTTTTGTGTCATGTGGCGTGGCTAAAATGCCGTCGCGTCACTTCCGGTTTTTCGGCACTACAGGATCCAGAGTGCTTTGCGCTTAGCGCGTCACTTCCGGTTTTCGTCCGGTTATTTGTGGGAAATATAGTCCGCACTGGGAGCTTTATTCAGTTAATATTCAGCTAATATGAACTGAATAAAGCTCCCAGTGCGGACTATATTTCCCACAAATAACCGGACGAAAACCGGAAGTGACAATATTTTGTTCTTATCCAATTTTTTTATTTTCTAGAAATATTTTTATATTGTTTTTATATACATTGTAATAAATTCCCTTATTTTATACTATCCACTGTATCCAGTACCAGTGATTCCAGGGAAGGGGCAGTGTCACCCCACAAATTGACACTAGGCCTATACACTTAGAGCCAGTTACCAAAAGGCTCTAAATAAGGTGAGCACTTTAATTTGTTATTTATATGAAAATATTACAAAGGATGCTACACTTAGTTGGATAATTCTGTGTCTTTTATATACGCTGGGGAGAGGAAAATACACACTTAACCTGGAGAGAGGGGTCGTGTGATCTACCCTTAAAGACACAGACGCACGAAAGTTTAGAGCCTAATTCACTTGAAAAGGCTCTAAAAAATGTGAGTAGTGATGTTAGTTTAACGTCCTTTCCATCGAGAATTTCCTTCTCCATGGAAATTGGAACAGAGTGGGCAGGTGAGACGTATGGAGTAGTGATAGTGGGTGGGGGGGGACGGGGAGGGAAATGAGGGGTAAGCCAGACTGTATGACCGAGATCGCCAGGTGAGGGCCTGCCAGGCTCAACGAGACACCAGGTGTGGCTATAGCCGATTCCACTTATCAGCCTGTTGATCATTTGGAGGCTGGCCAGGATAGCGACCATGGTCTCCTGATTGGAATCTGAGGAGTAAGCTGTCGGCCCTTGTGAACTAGAGCCGGGCCTGGGGACGTTGGCCTGAGCCGTCGTGAGCCTGTGTAGTTCTGCCTTACTGGCAGTAGCTGGGGAGGGGATACCCCTGTGTCTGAGCTCTGCTGAGATTTTTGAAATGTACCAGAATTCATTTGGAGACCTAGGCCTGACTGGCATGCTGGGTATTTCGTCCAACAGCAGACCGATTATTGGGATGGATTCTTGTGACATTCTAAAAAAGAGATAATGATTTGGATAAGTAATGTGTCTTAGAGGTGTGGAAGAGACCTTCGGAGAACTGGCCTGTTAGCTAGTGCCAAGGCGAAGAATTTACCTAGAACCAAGTGACAGGTGAGGCCCTGCTAGTGCCAAGTTGCGGAGAGAGGCTCTACCTATGATTTGGGCCGAGGGAGTTTTGTGGCCACTTGAACGTGGTGGCAGGATGTCGGCCTCTCGGTGACTGTAAGAGATTCAAAATGTGTGGCCGTGACTTGGGAAGCCCTAAAGAAGGGCGGGCGAGGTGGCTAACTATAATTTGGTCGTGGGGCTGAACCGCAGTGTATGAGGTGGGGTGTAGACCCTGCGGGACTGTAGTATTACTTAGGATAGCTAAGGCCAGCGCCTAATCCTCAATGCCAGTTCTCTTGTCTGATGGAACTTGTCTCTTAGAATGGTGTGATATAACGCATGTAGATACTTAACCTTGAGTGTTTGTCCTCTTTCTTTGGGCAATGCACAGGAAGATTACAATATATTCTTGCTTCTGCAGGGAACAGGCCGGTCCGGGAAACCTTAGGGGAAAAAGATGCTAGCGGGCCTGAGGCGTGCCATTGGTATAATGAGTGTAAAAATGTAGAAGGTATGGGTAGGTATGTATCAGAGATACTGTAACGTAAGAACTTGGGTAAGCTGAGGGACCTGAACGTTGGTCTGTAAATTAGAGACAAACCCCTGGGTTTCCACAAATGTGAATTTTTTGAATGATACGAAGTCGAAGTGAGGCCTTAAGGAGAAACGTAATCGTAGTGAGTAAGATTACCAATACCTGATACTGCAATGTAGGGAACCAGGTAACCTGTAGGTTGTCAATGGCGTAGGACTTGGCAAGCTGCGGTAATGACACAGGTCTAAGTAATAATATGTAGAAATGAATGACAAAACATGTACGCAGGGACGTATTAGCCGCGAGGCAAACAAGGCATTTGCCTTGGGCGGCATTTTTCAGGGGGCGGCAAAAAACGCCGCCCCCCAAATGCCCAGGGCAGATGCCTTGTTAGCCTTGCGGCTAACTGACATCCCGGGCGGCCGGCGAGGGAGCACTTCCTATGAGCTGACTGCTCAGCTCCCTCGCGCACCGCAAAGTGAGGCTGGGAGCGGGAAGATGGCGTCATCGGTTCCAGCGCCTCACTCACCGGCAGCGAGGAGCTGAGGCAGTCATATGGAAAGTACTCGCCGACAGCCTGCCAATGCCGCTCGCTCTCTGCTCACTGGACCTGGGAGAGACCCCCAGCACTCCCAAAGGTAAGGAGGTTGGGGGGGGATTTAAATAAAAAAAAAAGTTAATGTGTGTGTGTGTTTGTATCTGACTGTGTTTGTGAGTGTGTGTGTGTGTGTGTGTGTGTGTTTGTCTGACTGTGTTTGTGTCTGTGTATGTGTCTGACTGTGTGTGTGTTTGTGTCTGACTCTGTGTGTATCTGACTGTGTTTGTGAGTGTGTTTTGTGTCTGACTGTGTTTGTGTGTGTGTGTGTGTGTGTGTTTGTGTCTGACTGTGTGTGTGTGTGTTTGTGTCTGGCTATGTGTGTGTGTTTGTGTCTGTGTGTGTATGTGTGTGTGTGTGTGGCTGTGTGTGTGTGTGTGTTTGTGTCTGACTGTGTATGTGTCTGACTGTGTGTGTGTGTGTGTTTGTGTATGTGTCTGTGTGTGTGTGTGTGTGTTTGTGTCTGACTGTGTGTGTGTGTGTGTGTGTGTTTGTGTGTGTCTGACTGTGTGTGTGTTTGTGTCTGACTGTGTGTGTGTGTGGCCCAGAAGGTGGTGGGAAGGTTCAGATTGGGGTGGCTGGCGGGGGAGAGGAGGCATACAGTTTGTCCTGCCTAGGGCAGCACAAAACCAGGATACACCACTGCATGTACGGTTAAATATAGTAGTAATACGGTGGATTATGATTATGAGATTGTTGTTGACATTTTGTGAGGAATCTTAGACCAGGTATATTTTGAAGTTTAGAACCCACTTTGGGAGGTGGGGGGCTGTATGAGGCCATGGAGGCTGAATGAGGCCTCAAGGGAAAACGTAAAATGGTAAACCTTCTTACCTGTTACCGAAATGCGGGATCTGGGTACCTCTTCTTGGAGCTTTGTTTGAAGAAAAAAAAAGTAGTAGAACCTAAAACATATACATTCTAAGTATAAGGAACCAGAGTATAATGGGTTTTTTTTTGGAGACAGAGATTTGCAAAATTGTTCTAATTGTCTGTAATGAGCCTGGTGAAAAAGGATGTAAAGCTTAATTAAAGACATGATAAACTAAGAAAAGATGTAGTGAGTGGTAAATAGCGGTGCTTGGGGTTGTATTTAGCTTGCCGAAACAAATTAATTATGCTGAACAGGGTCTTTTAAGAAGATTCCGCTAAATAAATGAATGGCCCATAATTAAATATAATCTATAGGATGGGAAGTAGTTCCACAGTGATATTGTCATTATATCTAGTGGTGACTGGAGAGCCATGTACTACATGTAAATTTATGTAAGGTAAAGAATTGAGAAAGGGGTGAGTGCTAATGTTATAGGTAAATGACATGACAAAGGTATAATTTATGACAGTTTGTGAAAATTGAAACGTATGAAGCCTCTTGCGTTTGGCTAAGTGAACGAACGAGGGGAATATAAACGGGACCGACCGCCTGTGGTCGGTTAACTGAGCATGTGAAAACAGAACGAGAGCCATTTAAGTGTGTTCGTCTTTACTGGCATGCGAATGGACAAACGAACGTAAGTAAATATAGTGCGGTCGGTAGATATTTAAACGAATATAACGAAGGAGTGTGTACTCTGCGATCGGCTGTTAGCTGTACGAACGCAGAAGTACATGAACAAAGAAAAGTGCACGAACGGGTAAGTATGATACTAATAATAAAAGGGAGCCTATCCCAGCATTTTAAGGCCCGAAACGTGTGAAATAGCTAAACGCTATTTCCCACGTTAAGCTTACGTGGACGTGCCGGTCTCATGACCGGAAGTCGAGTAACGATGGGCATGGAGGACAGAGGCAGGAGCTGCTGGCGATGGACTGTTTGCTGGAGACTGGATTCTGGCGGGAACAACGGACCGGAAGTGCAGGTTGCTATGGAGAAGACAAACAGCTTGCACGACAAAGGTAAGTAGGGGGGTAGGGTTTAAATAGGACCATATCTCCTCCCACAAGTTCAGGCCAAATGGCCTTCCAATATATATATATATATATATATATATATATATATATATATAAAGAAGGGAGGTGACCAGCACTCACAGACTTTTGAAGATCAGACACATCCTGATAAAGGTCCTGGATGGGGACTGAAACGTCGATCCTGTTTTAATACCTCTTCAATAAAGAACAAATTTTTAACTTCAAAAGTCTGTGAGTTCTGGTCAACTCCATACTTTATATATATATATATGTAGAAAGGCCATTAGGCCTGAATTTGTGGGAGGAGTAAGTCCCCTACTTAAGCTCCCAGCCCCTACTCACCGCTGCCGCTCAGCTGATTGTCCTTAGCAACCAGCACTTCCGGTCCAGCTTCCCGCCAGAACTGTACCTGTTTCCAGCAGCCAGACGCCCTGTGCAATCCTCCGTCCGTCCGAGGCCCTTCCACTCCGTTTCCCTCCGGTCGAGGTACCCGACTTCCGGTCACGAGACCGGCGCGTTCACGTAAGCAAGGCGTGGGAATTAGCGTTCGCTTTTTCCCCGCCGTTCGGGCCTAAAAACGTAGGGGTAGGCTCCCTCTTTCGCATTTTCACGAATACACGCTTTCGTTTATATCTCCATTCGCGCCAAAAAACGCACGAACGTTCGGCTCATTTCGCTATCGTTTTACGCTTTTTCGTACGGAAACAACCGAATAAATATTTCATGTTTAAGCTCATTATTATCTGTATTCACTTTTCCGTTCGGTTGTTTCAGCATCAACCTATTCGTATGGTTAATTCACGTACACCATCTTACTAATTTACATTCGGTTATTTCTATTCTTTTAAGATAAGCTGGCATAAGTTCTAATCACAGTCCTACTATTATTTATTCCTTCATATGAGTTTGCGGTTACATTATATGGTTAACTACCAGCCCTGTGTTTTTCTACCTTGTTAAACCATTTAAAGTATTTTTCTGTTATAAACATTATGTTCACCACGGTTCATAACTTCATACGTGTCTAAATTCAAGCTATAACACTCTTTCCTAATAACACTCAGATAAGTCTTTTTAAACACTATTTACAAGTTATACCCTTTACACATAATCCGTACTATTCCTTGCACATAAATCACGCTGTCACATCTTTTGGCTTTTACAGATTGCATCGGTCTCTTGCTTTTCTGCATTAAAGTTGTTATTTCAAGGTCCTTTTATTACAGGAACAGGTATGGTTTTATCACCTTGAGTTATCAGGTTTTATCAATTATCTTCACATCTATTGCTAACTATGGTATTTTTCTTGGTTAAACCCTTAGATCCTTGTATTAATCTAAGCTTCCACCGTTTCTACGCAGTTAACCTGCCACGATTAAACAAGCTCTGTACTTTAAACAAAGGTATAGTTCACTCTCTTTTCAATACTAGACCTCACGTGGTCTCAACTCCATTACTACCTTCCCTCAGGCTTACGCCCAGGATACGTTATCTCTTTACTACTTGTCTACACAGACTTTCGGTCATACGGCCACCAGGCTCAAGAAGACACCAAATCCTGACACGGTACTCAGCCATACCTTCAGGTACTTACATCCTTACTCAAGTACGTCCATTCGCTACCCCAAGGCCTCATTCTGCCTTCTCACTCATATCCAAAATCATCCCATTCCTACACCTAAACCTCCCAGATCCCTCAATGCAGGATCTCACGTCGTGCCCCTAACAAACCTTCTCCCTATACTATTCATACGACATCACGATACGTATAAACACATCAACATCTGTCTTAAACCCCCAGGATTCTTCCTCAAAGACAACATTTAAGACAAGACTCTCTACACTTACCAGGAGGCTCCAGATACCATTTGCGACCAGTCAAGGTTAGTATCCACACACCATTCCAGTCCTCTAACTTTACCCTTTAGCATACTATCGAACTGGCTATACGGCACAGGCTAATGCCTTAGCCCACCCTATCAGGAAATCTGATCCCGCGAGGCCTACCACCCCCACCCCACCTCAACACGGAGGTACGGCCCCACGCCCAAATCATAGTTATAAGCCTCGCATGCCTTACTATAGGGCTCTAGTTAGGGCCTCACCTGTCACGGCCACACGTTTTGATTTCTCTTATCGTCACCGAGAGGCCAACATCCCGCCACCACGTCTGTGGCACCTACGTCATAAGCCAAATCATAGGTAGAGCCTCTCATCGCCACTTGGCATTAGCAGGGCCTCACCTATCCAGTCATTCAATAGTTAAGTTTTTCGCCTCGGCATCTAGCATTAAAGTCCAGTTCTTCAAGACACACCACTCCCCATACCCCCCCTTCTTACCTCACTCCCCTTCTAATATATCTTTCACATAATCATTCCTTTTTAGAATGTCCCAAGAACCAATTCCAACCGAAGAACTGACAGAAGAAGCACCATTCACGCCAATCAGACCCGTGTCTCCAGGCGAATCACTCACTCTTTCAACCCCCACGTCCTTGAGAGCATGGACTATTCCCAAAATCACAGCCGAGCTTAGGCTCAGGGGAATCCCCTTTCCGGCCACAGCTAGAAAGGCAGAACTTTACAGGCTGCTTACCCACCAAGTCCCCGAGCCTCGGCCGGGAACTAGCTCTCAAGGACAACCACCAAGTAACAGCACGGCCACCCAGGATACCCTGGCAGATATCTTGGCCAATCTACAGGCCCTCAATAGCAGGCTGTCTAAGGTGGAGAGCGCCATCTCCTCCTCAGGTACTAACACCGTAGTCCCAGTCTCTACCACGGCTGTACCTGCCATACCTTCATGTCCCTCTATACTCCCCCCTCCAGCACCTGGCACAGCCATCACACCTTTCGAGTCACCAGCACACTCCGTCCCAGATTCTATCAGGAAAGATATCCTTGACGGGAAGGATGTGTGTCTGGTGTCTTTACTCATAGCCTCTCAGGATGTACTCGAGAACAAGGCATACAATTATGGTGACATCTCTGTTGTGCTTAAAACGAGGGATCCCAGGCTTAATAAAAAATTGTCTATCCCACAGTTTGTGATAGCTTTCGGGATATACCGCGACGTCATTTGCACGGTGTATCCCCATAGGAGAGAAGAGCTAGATCTCTATCTCCACAAGGTAGTGGATCTAGGCATCAAGTACGGGGGCTCTTCCTTCTATGACTACCACAAGTCAGTCTCAGCGAAGGCGGCGACCCATCTCAAGCAGTTCAACATTAGAATGAACTGGGGTCAGATGGACACTGAACTTTTCTGTCGCCACTTCGCCGGACTCAGGCCCCCGGCTTGTGCCATCTGTAATTCCACATCCCACATGGCGGACTTATTTCCCGTCGAACCAGATCCCACCACCTCCACTCTCACCCCTCATCCCACGTTCACACCTCACTCCTCTTTCACCCCTCACAAGCCAGCGGGTGGTCTCCGGGATAAGCTGGGTAGGCCCTTCTCCTTTTTAGGTAAAGCACAGGTGTGCAATAATTTCAACGCAGGCTCCTGCAGTTTCAGCGCCTGTAGACTATTGCACATCTGCTCCATATGTTTCAGGGCACATACCAAGACCATGTGTCCAGCCAGGTTGTCACCAAACAAATGACTAACCGACATAAATATCGACAACCTGGTTTTTTATCTAAGGTGTCACCCCAGCAGGCACTTAGTGGATTTTCTCACCACAGGTTTCTCACAAGGGTTTCACACAGGCATAATAGCCATTCCCCCAGGTACACTAGAATGTCCTAATCTCCAGTCTGCACGTTTAGACCCAGTCGCTGTAGACACTCTCATTTCCGCAGAAACCACAAACGGTTTCATGATCGGTCCTTTCACCTCTTCACCGTTTTCCTCCTGGCGCACTAACCCTATTGGTATTGCTATTCACAAATATTCTAATAAAAAACGTCTCATTATCGATTTATCGGCACCGCACTCCTCTTCTGTTCCAAGCATAAACGCACTCATTCCAGCAGACGAATTCTCTCTGCAGTACGTCACCATCGACGACGCTATACAGTCTATCATGACATCTGGTAATCGACCCTGGCTCAGCAAAACAGACATCACTAATGCCTTTAAATTACTGCCCATACACCCCTCACTCTGGCACTTACACGGTGTTAAATGGCGAGGGTATTATTACTTCTCAACACGACTCACTTTTGGTTCCCGAAGCAGCCCCAAACTTTTCGACATTTTCGCTGAGTCACTATGCTGGCTGCTTCTGAATGTCATCAGGTGTCACTCCGTTATTCACTATCTAGATGACTTTCTACTGATAGAGCCAGGGTCATCAACACCCACAGCAATCAATAGTACTACCGCACTTTTTTCCACACTTGGAGTCCCTTTGTCCCCAGCCAAAACTATAGGACCCACTACAAAGTTGACCTTTTTAGGCATAGAGCTCGATTCTGTCAAACTCAGAGCTAGCCTTCCACACGACAAACTTTCACGATTGAGAGGGGAGATAGACACGTTCCTGCGGAATGACGTTTGCACCAGGAGAGAACTTCAGTCCCTTCTTGGATCTCTGAACTTCGCCATGTGCATCATTCCGCAGGGAAGGTCTTTTATTTCCAGACTTCTTTGCCTGCTCCATGGAGTCCCGGACTCCGGCACAGTTTCTTTGGACCCCCACGCCAAGGCTGACTTAGCTATGTGGGGGAAGTTTTTGAAAGACTGGAATGGTATCTCCATGTTTATCCCCCCTCTCTCCACCTCTTCACCCATCATCCACACAGACGCAGCAGCCAACACCGGTTTCGCAGCCATTTTCGGGAACCACTGGTTTAGGGGCCACTGGCCCACTGAGACGGATGCCTTGCCAGGATTCAGGGAAACCTCAACCCTATTTGAAATTTACCCCATTGTGGCGGCCGCACACACCTGGGGTCATCTCTGGTCCGGCAAGGCAGTAAAATGCTACTCAGATAACTCGGCAGCTTGCGATATTATTAACAAAGGGCGCTCATCATCCCTAACCATCATGCGGCTGATTCGCAAGTTGACCTGGCTGGCAGCATCCAATCAGTTTCACTTAGTATGTTCTCACATCCCGGGTATTCACAACACCGCCGCTGACGCTCTTTCTCGTTCTCGATTCCAGGCATTTTCTCAGGCACTCCCAGCAGCTCACCATCAGCCATCCAGGACACCACGGTTTCACGAACTAATATTGGATTAAGCACACTCTTGCTTCACGCTAGATCACTCACTCACCAAGCATTATCACCCAACACTGCTATCACTTACAATAGGGCACTTAACATATTTAATAAATTCACTGCAGAATTCGGGCTACAAGGTGACTTTTCTATCCAAACCATGGTGTCTTTTGCCTCTTTCTGCCACCTACACCTTAATCTGTCACACAACACCATTAAACTTTACCTCACCGGGGTTCAGCACCACAGCCTCACCAATTTTCCTAACAGCACCCCCTTTTTGTCTTCATACCCCATAAAAAAGGTCTTGAAAGGTATATCTAAGCTTTCACCACCACTCGCAAGCACTAGATTACCCATAGACGGGCCTATCTTCAGGTCTCTTAGCAATCTCCTTGACACAGCCCCATTTGATAGCTACACCAATACGGTGATAAAATCTGCCATATATCTCGCTTTCTACGGTTTTCTCAGACCTAGAGAGTTCACAGTGATTTGTCAAGGAGATATCGCACAATGCCTTAAAACTTCACACCTCACCAAGGTAGAGGATCACTACCTCCTCTCTATCCCTACCACTAAAACCAACCGGTCAATACATCCTACAATAATTCCTCTCTTCCCTACTGATAATGCCTGGTGTCCGGTGAAAGTTCTCGACCAACTACGGTCTACTTTTCGCACTCACCTGCCAGACTCTCCGCTCTTAACATTACAAGGGCACCCGCTTACCACGGCAAAATTGATGTCACATGTCAGAACCCTGTTATCTAAGCTCGGACACAATCCGGCTGCATTCTCCGGGCACTCCTTCCGCATAGGAGCCGCCTCAGCAGCCTCAAGCACAAACGCACCGGTCCACATCATCAAAAGGCTCGGGCGATGGAAATCCTCCATATATAACGCATATATTCCACAACCAGAGAAAGAGCTTCGCCAAGCTTTCAGAAACTTGGTCTTGTAAAATGCAATAAAGTGTGTATTTTCTCGAATTTATCTTTTTGCCCTCTTTTATTTACAGGCCCACTCGTACGTTGGTTTCGGCACACCACAACCAACTTTGCTCACAGTTACTATCCATTACGTATTTAAATTCCGAGCACAAGTAGAAAGGCCATTAGGCCTGAATTTGTGGGAGGAGTAAGTCCCCTACTTAAACTCCCAGCCCCTACTCACCGCTGCCGCTCAGCTGATTGTCCCCACCCACCTACACCCTGTTTTAACTACATTATCCTTGGTGGGCCCTCTTTTATTTACAGGCCCACTCGTACGTTGGTTTCGGCACACCACAACCAACTTTGCTCACAGTTACTATCCATTACGTATTTAAATTCCGAGCACAAATATATATATATATTTCTGTGGGAAAAGCAAGTCTTTTGGCTTGACTGGTGTTCAGATTTTTGTTTAACATTGTATTAACTATCCACAGAATTTTTAACTTCAAAAGTCCATGAGTGCTGGTCACCTCCCTGCTTTGGATTTATTTCTTCCCCTTGACTTCAAGCACCCGGCCATCACTACTTCTCTGCCATCTCTCGGCCATCTCTGAAATATATATAACTTTAAAATAGCTTTAATAGGGGGGGTGAAATCTTTATCATGGAATCACTAGTAGTGAGTCCATGATAAAGATTTTACCCCCTCCCTCATTCCATGCACTTACCTTGTCCTGGGAGCTCCTCTCTCTTTCCTCCCGCATGGCCATTTGCAAAGAGCGCTGGGAGGAAGCAACGGCATCGAGTGTGACCTCACTTCCTCGCAGCGGTCACGAAAAAAATCTATGGATTACATCTGCTGGACCCGCGGAAAAAAATATGAGAATTCGTGAAGCCGCAGATTCAGAAGCGCAAATTCTCGGGGTATTACTGTACATAATTATTTTATTTTATTAATTATACTTTGAGGAACCTGCCTGATAACCCAGGCAGACAGTCCAGAGAATGTAATTGGCAAGTCCTATATTTAACCCCATAACTTTCCAAAACACCATAAAACCTTTACATGGGGATTATTGTTATACTGGAGACTTCGCTGTACACAAATATGAATGTTTTAAAAAGTTAAACTTATCACGATGATGAAATCACCAGTAAAAGTGCAGTTTTTGTGTAAAAAAATGCAAAAAACTAATATGAGCGCTAATTTTGCCCAGCATTTGTGACTAAGTGGCTACTACAAAAGACTGGAAATACCCCATTTTGAATACCCTGGGTTGTCTACATTTGAAAATGGTATGCCATGATGAGGTTAATTCACATTCCTTGGCTACCATATGCAGGGCTGATGCAAGGAATTCTGCCACCCGATGCAAAGATCCATTTGGTGCCCCTTTTTAAATTTCACTAAATGCCAAAAGGAATCATTCCACTGATTTTTTCTTCTTCATATTTTAGTAGATATACCCACAAAGAAAATATGCTTTTTTCCTGCTTGCCGTCCAATCAGAGGCTTCTCATTGAGAAGCCTTTGTGCTGGATCCATAATTGTGCGCATGCACACTTGATCAGCGCTTTGCTATGTTTCCCATTGAGCATGCTAGTACAGCACGTATGTCTCTGCTGTTAGCTCTATGGAGCTAAAGAAAGTGAAAGAACATCTTCCTAGCTTTGTGACAGACAGGGGGGCATTTTTGCCCCAATTATAAAAGGTCTGATTTCTTTTTAAATCAGCATTTTTATAAACTGTCAAGAAAATTACAAACTCCAGACATATAAAGCACTTCAACAGGCTGCAATAATGTATGTGGAGTATTCCTGTCTCTCTTAGCAAACTGCCTTATACATACACACACACACACACACACAGAAAGTGCCTTATACATATAAACACACATACATACAAACACAGAAAGTGCCTTATACATATGTGCACCCAAACTGCTGAACACATACATACACCAACACATACGAACTGCCTTGTACACACACTTCCTAATACATACACAAACACACTGGCAAATACATACACACTGCCTTACCCACACATGCACACAAGCTGCTTTATAGATACATACAGGGGTATGGATTTTTTTTTTTTTTTTTTAAATCTACTTGTACAAGGGACTAAAGTGGACCCATACACAAACACACTGACCCATACAAAAAACACTGCACACTGACTGATACACAAACACATGGACACTGACACTCGAACACAGCACAGATTACCATCAGTAGCCTGTTCCATGCTCACTTTGCCCTTTACAGCGTGTTGGCCGCCGAGTATGACGTCACACTAAATCCCAGTGGCCATAAGTCCTGAGCATTGTTAGGAACGGTTGGATGCTGTCTTTCCTCATACTGCCCTGTGAACTGCAGCCAGGTCCATTTAACGCATCCTGGTATGCCTGCGGGAGGTACACTTCCTGCCTGGATATACAGCAACTCCCCCCAATTCAGCCCTAAAATAATTAAAAAAAAACTTCCTGTCCTTTCCGGATACTCACAAATTGTCTAATACATACATTGACCTAGTGTATATGAAGATTACATACCTGTAATGCATACAAATACAAACAGAAACACACACTGCCTAATACACACACAGAATGTTGAACAGACAAACACACCACTGCCTAATACACACACACACACACACACACACACACACACACACACAATGTCCAACGGACACACACACACTGCCTAATACACACACACATACACACACACAATGTCCAATAGACACACACACCACACTGCCTAATGCGCACACACAATGCCCAACACACACACTGCCTAATACATTTACACACACACAATGTCTAACAGACACACACACACTGCCTAATACACACACACAATGTCTTAACACACACCACACTGCTTAATACACACACAAAATATCTAACAGATGCACACAATGTCTAACAGACATACACACAAACACACACACACACCACACAGCCTAATACACACACAATATCTAACAGACACACACACTGCCTAACAGGTACACACACAGCAAGCTGCCCTCCTCCATCCCTCACATACTCTGGTTGGTGCTGGGGGCACTGGAATCATTAGATAACCCTTTGCAGGAAGTGCTTATGAAGGCTATGTGAGTCACATGCAGGGAGGTGTGACTAGAGCTGCATAAACAAAGTGAATTAACTCATAAATGGCAGATAATTAAACAGGAAGACTGCAGGGGAATAATCTATACACCAAAACTGCTTCATTAAGCTAAATTTGTTTTGGTGACTATAGTGTCCCTTTAAAGTTGAAGCTCACTTTGAATTCTCACGTTAGTAAATACCTTTGCTAGAATTTAAAAGGATTCACTTCTGCATACTCAGCTATAAGTGCTCCCAGCACTTAAATGAAAGTCCTCCTGGTTGTACTGAGCATGCATTAGTGGGTCACATGCATTCATAGAAGGAAACACTTATATATTACCATGAGTTATATGAATAGTCTATTTTCAAATATAATTATTTTCTCAAAACTTGGCCGTTTGTATCAGGTGGAAATTAAACAACAAGCTATTTAGTAATTATATGCATAATTATTTTTTTGGGTAGTTCCATGTCATAAATACAGTTGTGCTCAAAAGTTTGCATACCCTTGGAGAATTGGTAATAT